AGAAAGTGGAGTTAAAGCTGTTGGTGAGAGCAAATGAGTGTTTGTAATCTCTTTGCCTCCCCTCTTCTCACCACACACCCACCTAATGATTAAAACTGAGTTAAAGCAGCTACTATTGGACTACACTGAACTAGGCGATTAAACAGAGAAATGACAAGTTCAAGTAATTACCAGCCAGATGTGAACACCAAAGAAGGGAGTACCACATTCCCCACACCACTGCGACTGCAAGGAAAGAAAGGAATCTAAGTGGCTTTTTCAGACACCCTGCAATCACGAAGGCATTCTCTCCTGTTCTGTAATTTCAAAGGCAGCATAACCTTCATAAATGGTTCACATGCACACAGACACAAACCCCGCTCTGTGCGGGTGTAGTGTTCAAAAGAGCAACATCATTACACACATTATCAAATCTATACTTAACTTCTCATGGTACCGTACATGTAAATTCTGCAGACTGAATCTATTTGTGCAAACTGGAAAAAATAGAGAAGGAGATAGTACACAGCCTGAGGGGAACCCTCATTATCACAGCTTTACTGATACTGCTGGTAGCGCCAGCAAGAGACTTTCTCCTGTTCACAAGGTGATAACTTTGAGGACCTTGATTAATGTGTATTACTCAGGCAGATGAATTCAAATCTACCCAGCAACTTCTGCAATCCCGGTAAGTCTGATAAGTAGCTGGAAGGCATGAAAATTCCTATCTGAACTTATTAATGCATACTAGAAAAAATAATTTTTAAGAGTATAATCTAAAATGCACATATACCACAGCTGAGCTTATCTCTCAAAAGGTCCAAGGGAGGGAATGGACTCTGTCTTCCAGCCACCCTGATGGCAAAAGAGGATCATTGCACTACAGCGTCTCTCTTCATGTCAACACCACCAATCTCCTGAGTGAAACACGTGTCTAGAGTACCACCACGGAAACAGTAGTTCTATTACCCCATGATGACAAGGATATTATGTTAGTTTCAATGAGTGGGTTCAGCATGAACATCCTGGGGTACAGAACTATTCATGCATCAGGCATGAAAATAAATCTTTTTTTAAAAAAAAACAAACCACCAAACAAAAACTTTAAAGAATCTTTTTCATATCCAGCACCTCTCTTAGTAATTTATATGAAGTCAAATACTTTGGAGTTTGTGAGCACCCTGAACAATTACATTAAAGACAACTACATTTTCATCCCAGGAACAAGCTCTACTCTACAGTACATGTGTAATGCCGTATTATACACTTTCATTCCTACACTGCACTTTTTTATTCAAGGAAATCTATGGAGGGCCTGATGCAACATTTCTAGGGCTAGTTCCAGTCCAAGATCAGGCTCAGCTATAGACTTTTTTTATTTGTTACTACTTTTAAGCTCAAGAAAGCTCTTTCTCCTAATAAGACTTCCTGCTCTTTAATAATCAACTGAAACTATTCTGGACACAGCTCCAATAATAAATACTGAGATAGTCAAAACACCTGTAGAGGTTTTCCTTGATGAGCCTGCCTTGTAATTGGGACTCTGGAATTTGCACAGTGTATTTAATACTGGCAAAATTTAAATACATAGAATTATTTAGCATGCTTTTCACACTCGAGTATCTCAACTCTAATAACTTGACAGAGGGGCAGTTTGTGGGTTTTATTTGTTCAGTGTTTGTGTATGTGAGTTTTTTCCTTTTATTTTGTGTTTTGCCCTTTTTTTAAAAAAATTCCAGTGTCTACTTATTAGGAAAAGATTCAGATCACTACAGCAGTTTCCACTGTGTACCTGGTGAGCTAATAAACAGATGGTGCAATTACACTGACAAGTATCATACCAGAAAAGACCTAGAGAAAAAAAACAGCAAGCAACTCTGAAAAAGAAACCACCTCTCCCTTCTGGTGTCACTGAAGGCATCAGCTTCTTGCATCTAAAAACCTCAAGAAAAGAGTGGCTGAGAAAAGATGAGCTGTCCCAGATACCACAAGGATGACACAAAGCCACTCAGAGGCAGACTGTTTTTCATCCATGTTGACTAACCTAACACTTTGAAAAACAACTAAGACAAAACTGAAGAGAACTAGAACATGCCCTTGGAGGTCTGTAGTGGGGCTCTGTTGAGTACTCCTGCCCCTGTAGTAGCAGAACAGACTAAGAAAATGCCATGAGCCTTCAAAGAATTTGCATCGGGTAGCAACAAAGTAATTTTGAGGGACTTTCTGAAGAGTGAAAATCTCAGAAAAATTGGCTCTGGAAACATAGGTGATAAGATGCTGTAATATTCCCTCTTTATTCACCCTCCAAGCATTCCTACCATGTATTGAGTAATTAAATTAATATCTGAATGGGATCAGGAGGGGGGAAAAAAAACAAACCCCACACCACAATTGCAAACAAACCTCCATGCCCACACAGTTTAAAATGCTATTCACAACCTTACATAATGTGACAGATGTCCTGGAAGGACAGTACCGTTAATATGGACCTTAAGTGATAAGAATCCAGCCCATTTCCACAGTATTTTAAACAATCTTTACACAAGCAAAATCTACATTTAATTCAGAATATGAGTAACTGCCACACAGCTTTTACTTGAAAGAAAATTACAGACAAGAAGCATTCCATTCATATGTGATCAGTTTAGCAAGATGTAGAATCTCTGGCTTTTTGAAAACTGCCCCTGTACAAAATTGCATTAAATTACTGTATGTGCAACAGTGAGAGATAAGAAATAGAGAAGAGCTATTTCCACCAGAGCACCAAAGGACAGCAAGGTGTACAGATGGAAATGATAGGTTTCTCTGGCTTGACTATTATGATTCTAGAGTGCAAAAAGAATATATGTATTGTCATTTATACAAGCCTTGCAGCAGAGTCAGAAGGCAGAAAAGCATTAGCATATACAACAAATAGCTGTCTACAGAAAAGCATTTTCACAGTACTACAAAGCTATCTCCTGCCACTAAATACACTGTAATAATTTGAAACTAATACAGTTACAATCGTTTGTATAAGATCTCCAGTTATACCCTGGAAATTAATACTTTACAATAAAACACTGTTCTTAGTAAAGATGTCCACACAGACAAGTAAGGGGAGGACTTGCAGGGGGCGGCAGAAGGTGGTGCGTGTTTAATTCCATTGATAATTTCATTTACTGAAAGAGGTATCTATTGTTCCCATTTAGGGTGCAGAAGTAGTACATTATGTCAAAGCAAAACCTCTCTTTCTGTAGCTATCAAATATTATCATTCAGTATTGACAAAAGTAAATTTTCTTTCCTTTCTCAATACTACAACATCTTATGCATATGGAAGCAAACAGATCTTCACATTAAAAAGGTACACAGATACATTTTTAAACCTTAACCTTGGTTGAAGAAATCCCCTATGATTTCATGTTCAGCTGGTCAAGATAAAAACACGTGAGAAGCAGAGTATTAACTTGGATTTAGTGGGTTTACGGGCAGGACTATCAATTGAGCAAAACTTCAATTACAGACTAATTTAATGTATACCCAAGTACATTATTGCAATTCAATAAACATCTCTTCAGAATTAAACAATTCCAATTTGCTTTCATTTCAGCCTGTGTGCATGCATTACAGATTTGCTATTATCCGCGATAAAATTAGTCAGACTGTTTGGAAGCACTCGTCCATGCAACCTCAGTGTGTCAGTGCTGCATCCAACTAACCTCAAACGAACCACTTAACCGTACCTGCTTACTAAACAGCAGCAAGGAGCAGAGAAGTGTACCTGCCCATAACAATAGTACTCTCCTAAAATTTCTTCTAGCTAGGTCTCTTCCTGAATAACCCAGGAATGAATCTATCAACTTCTCTCCTGGTGGACATCCAACGACTCATGTTTATAACTTATTCTTCTATTTCTTCCCTTCTTGTATCAACGAACATGAAAGCGTCAGGCACCAACTCAACTTTGCATATTCTGCTATCTGGTTGCTCTGGAAGACTGCCTTCCCTCTAGTCAGCTATGATACAATACGAGATATGCTACTCCTGGCAACACAATCCCATTTTAATCGTGAATTAACTCCTCTGGATTTGAACAAAACGCAAGATCATCGGGTGGGAATTAAAAGCACTTGGAATCTAATAGGAGGGTTCTCTTCACAGTCTGGGCAGTCAGAGCCTCCGCACCACCCAACACTCTATTTAAGGCATCACTATACTGATCATCAAGTGTCAAAGTAGCACCGTGGACAAAAGTGATCTGATTTCTACAGTATTCACAGAAAAGTGAAACATTTAGATTAATAAAATTATACTCTGTGAGCACACTCAGACTTCAAATTCTTTCCACCTCACATCACCCCCACCCCCAAACACAGAATGCATCAGGAGCGACTTAGCCACCCTCTGATCTCCCCACCTAAGAGTCAGTAAGCATCCCTGTGCTGCAGCTCAGGGTAAGTTTAAAAAAAAAACCAAAAAGGCAGCACAGTAAATAGTACTTTACCACATGCCTCACAAAGGCAAGATTAAGACACATCTTGCATGTGTCAGGCACAGTGTCAGCTCTTGAATCACAGTAAATAACAGGGCTAAAACCTTAGCAACCTTCAAGAACTACTGATGTTGCTACCGTGTACTTCAGGACATCAGCAGAATCAATCCCGTCATTTACTCCCAGCAGCCCTGAACAGACTCTTCTGACATGCAATGCTCCATCGCACGATTATTGATGCCTGATAAAACACTGTGAAGAAAGCAGATGAAGCTGACTGACAGCCAAACTGTTTAGCTGATTACAGTAAAATTATCCATAGCTACCACGCAGTACTACAAAAGCTTATGAAGAGGGCTGTACCCAGACAAAGTTTCAATCCAAATATTTAAGAAAATGATTGAAATTCATGTCACTTTTACCCTTTTTTCTTACTTAAATTTAATATGAATGAAAGAAGAAGGCCCAATAGGATGGCAAGTTTTATACATAGTTGCAATCTGGGAGGAAATACTCATCTTGCATAAACTTGTTTTAACACAACCTACCTTTCACTATTAATTCCGCATAATTCGAAACTCCAGATCCACCATCAGAACGAATGACACATCGGTACTTGCTGATACTGCGTTGAGAGGTGTCAGCTACACTGACAGTAGCAGAAAAACGTCTATGGTTGACCACTCGAGTGACCATTAATGCTGTGTCCCTTCCATTCCACTGCTGTAAAGGCAGACAAAAGCAATGCAAGCTATGAAGGCACACAGATCAGGCATCCACGCGCAATTCAGTCTTTGTTATGCCTCTTAACATTGTTCAGACCTTCATGTTCACGTCGCTAGGCTAGATTTTATATAAGCATGATTTTTCAAGAGAAGATTGCTAGCCACACCCTTGAAAAGTTTACAGGGTTCTGCTAACTAGGGCTTAAATATTCTTACACACATATTTAAGTTTTCACTTCTATTTAATTTTTGAAACGTATTTGGGCATTTGATGGGTTGATTCTGGACTAATTTAAATAAATTGGTTGGATGAGCAGACATCCTTCTATGTCCAACATTCCTCAGTAAAACTCTCCACCAATGCCAGACCACATTTTCCCAATTGGAAAAGGGACAGATGAAGAATTAGCTAGAAATAGAAGTTCTCCACGGCATAAACACCTGAACTTACTCAGTTGGTCTAGTTTATTAGAAGTTTCAAAGCAAAACACACTGCTGTTTTGCCGATTTCCCCTGATCAGTTTTTGGGAGCGTTTCCAAGGCTATTTTCATTAAATGTCTCAATTTTAGAGAATGGAAAACAGGTTTCCACTAGCAACAGTAAAGATTTCCTCCCAAACCCCTGCTTCTCACAGGAAAAGGTTCATGCTGCTTCAGGTCAGAAGTGTTTTTACACACTTCTACTCGTAACTGCGGATAGATTTCACCGAACGTATTGTGTTTGCGCGGCAAGATTTTGGTAGTGGGAGGGCTACAGGGGTGGCTTCTGTGAGAAGCTGCTGGGAGCTTCTCCTGTGTCCAACAGAGCCAGTGCCAGTCGGCTCCAAGATGGATCCGCCACTGGCCCAGGCTGAGCCCATCAGCAACAGCGGTAGCGCCTCTGTGATACCATATTTAAGAAGGGGAAAAAAGTTACTGTGCAAGAGCAATTGCAGGCGGAGAGAAGAGGGAGAACATGTGAGAGAAAACAACCCTGCAGACATCCAGGTCAGTGCAGAAGGAGGGGGAGGAGGTGCTCCAGGCACCGGAGCAGAGATTCCCCTGCAGCCCATGGTGAAGACCGCGGTGAGGCAGGCTGTGCCCCTGCAGCCCATGGAGGTCCATAGTGGAGCAGATCTCCACCTGCAGCCCACAGAGGACCCCACACCAGAGCAGTTGGAGGCCCAAAGGGGACGGTGACCTGGTGGGAAGCCCGCGCTGCAGCAGGTTCCTGCCAAGACCTGTGGACCCATGGAGAGAGGAGCCCACGCTGGAGCAGGTTTTCTGGCAGGACTTGTGACCCACAAACCTTTCGTTGTATTTTCTCCCCTGTCCAGCTGAGGACAGGGAGTGACAGAGCAGCTTTGGTGGGCAGCTGGCATCCAGCCAGAGTCAACCCCCCCACTGAAAGAACTCAAAAGATAAATAAGCCAAAAATACATCTCAGTGGATGCTAAAAGTACACCACAGGTTAATAAATTTCAGATTAAAATGTAATTTTTAGGAGAACAGCTGTGATGAGAGCACAGTTAAAGTGACTGTCAAGTAATTTTTACATAACGTCAACTACATTCCTCACCAACTCAAGCCTTTTTCCCAGTACTTGTTTTCACTTTTGTTAGGTAAACTGTTTCCTCCCCTATTATTTAAACCAGATTTGAAATTGTTATTTTTAAAGCTTATTAAGATGTCTGAAGTGAATAAATACGTTTAAGAAATCTTTTAATTATCTGACCACCAATGCCATAGCAACCATGACAAAGGCCCTTCTTGTCTGCCTCAAATGTTGCAAATACGGGGTGGTCAGACCCTCAGTCACATCAGTCCAAGATGAGAATGAAGTGTTGGCTGGGTTAAGCATTCTCAGAGTTTATGTTGGCCCTCTATACATGCACAGTACGTACAGCAGGAGAATCTTCTCGACTTGTTTGGGACGTTAGGTGTTTAACAGCACAGCGGTTTAGAAGAAGTGAAGAGCTCAACTATTTTAAAAGCTTCTAGAAGAGATCTATGTATAGTGCATGGTAATGTTGGAGGGTGAGAGGAAAGAAGTTTGCATAATAAAGCAGAAGTGAAGAACTATTCCACTTTTTCTGTCTCTTCTGCTTTATGATGGAGTGCTTAGAGGTACACGGGCATTTGTTTGAAATAAAAATTTTGCTGCCGCCTGCCTTTTTTTTTTTTTTCTTCCATCTTCTATGTCATGATTCTGTACTTTGTCACCTTAAACTCTCATCTAGAAACAATTTAAGGTAGTTCTCAAAGGATCTTGATGAAAAGATTTTGCCCCACCACCCAGTCTTTCTCTATCTACTTATTTTAGTTGAAAAAGTAAACAAACCAAAACCAAACCAAAGCAACCAAACAAATAAAAACCCCACCATAAAAAAAAAAAACCAAAACACATTACTTTACCTGGAGCCAGAGTTTGTCGTGCTGCGACCACTTCCCCCCAGCAATGCACTGGAACGTCGCGTTCTGTCCCACATTAACCTCCACGTTCTGAAGTCGTAGGAAATGAGGTGCTTTTCCTAACAAAAGATGCAAAGTATTACAAGGGTCGAGCAAAGCAGAACTGACTGTGTCACACCAACACAGATAGAAACACTCAGCAAAGCACCAGGGCCTATCCTTGACAAAGTGATTTTGCAAAATAAAGCTGTCCTTCAGTATTTTATTATTCACTGGGATGATGGATCTGACAGAGGATGGCCTAAGGGATCACACAGAGCTCTGGCATACCTGAAAACACAGACTTAGATCAAATCACAACACAATTTCATGGTCACCAGCACAATTTCTTACTGCTTCCTCTAAGGAGTAAATGAGTAATTTCTTCAGAAAATTGTTTCTAAAAAGGTAAAAAAAAAATATCAAATACTTCTGAGCTTGTCCAGCATGACTGACCCAACTCAAATTTTCACAAGGGTCTTTTTTTATCTTTTTTATTTTATTGCCTATCAAATACATCCTAGACCTTTAGAATAATAATGTGCCATTAATATCAAATCAGATTTAAATTAAATATTCATATAACTGACAGCATTGTATCACTGTATTAGTTTAAGATCATTGATATCAGTGTTTTGCTGATACTAAATTCAGTATTAATATTAAACCACTGATATTAAATCGCAGACATCACATCTGTTCACAAAGAAACTAGATCAGAGGATTATCCTTTTGACTAAATACCAGACTCACTTACCTCTGTAAGCTAACTTACGTGAAAATAAAAAAAGACTACAGTACTGAATATGACACTTCTAAATGAACTTAGTTCTTGCTGGGCTTCAGAAGAGAGTTTGTGCACCATTTGAAAGCTTCTAGTCAGACACACTGAATAGCCTTATGAGACTCGAAAGGTCAGAGTTTTTCAACTTCATCTTTACAGTTTTTAGTATGATTATACACCAATGAAATATATAATTTCAGAGGACATACCAACGCATCTTTTTCTGGAATCGAATCGCTTCAAAAGGATGTGGGAGTCTGTGCATGGAGCTTGACATATAAGTATTTGTCTACTACAGACCCCTGAACAGAGAACATGTGTCCGTACACTATGCCACTAGCATCTGTATCCCGTTCACCACACGCCCTGTTTGCTGACAGCTCCTGAAAGACAGTGACTCTGTACCATTGTGCTTTGTAGGGATCAGTAATTTGTGTCCGAGATTACTGGAAAGCTACTTCTGGGTGACAGCAGAATGTACAGCACGATATTTGCAGGCTAATACTAGTAATTTCTGCCTGCAGTCTAAGGTGGGCAGATACACCCCAGCTCCAAATACGAAGCTGTGTAGTCACACAGCCCCAAACTCCTAGTCCTCAGGTCTGCCCAGCTTCCAGAGCACAGGGCTGTCCTATGATTGCAAGTACTCACACACACTCAGTCAATAAGCTTTTAGCATAATGAAAATTGATATACCGGGGCATTCCTACACAGGACAAAAAAAAAGAGAAGGCAACAGCAGCAAGATATTTATTTTTCTCCATTACTGTGTCATTAGGGGCTTTTCACTGCAGTTTTGCTGACACCTAGGTTTGTCTGCTATACTGCCATCTACGAAGGTAAAGCAAAAATGAAGAAAAAACCAACAATTGCAGTAACCTTTAGGGTCAGCAGCAGCTTCATGGTCCTTGTTTTGAGTTAGAACAACTGTAAAACAAACATGAGGGGCAAAGCCTGTACAAGTCACTGGAACACAGTCTGGTGACATTTACCCTGGTGGCTGTCATCGCTGAAACACCAAAGCAGCACTGGGAACCAGACAGGAGAAGCATTTATAAAGACTGCAGAGAACCTGCAGCTTGTAATGATTTCTGTATGCTGCAGGCTGCAAACGGATTCAAAACGGAGTAGTTAACTGTTTGAATCGGTTTAGCTTTGAGTCACCAAGAATGCACTCAATTTTGAAGAGGGACCTGCATACACTTGGAGAAGTGGATTTGAAATCAGTTTAAATACTTGATTAAGCAGGGGTGTAACACAATATCCTTTCTCTTTTTTTTAAATCCATAACTTTCTTGTCTAGGCTTTGCCCCACCATTTGTTCAGCGGCCTCTTTCCCAATAAAGGGATCAGTCATCACCCAACATGCTGTGGAACACACAGAGACCATTTTGGGGGATTTGTTTGGATGCTGTCAGTTATCAGCAACATCTGGTTAATACAGACTGTGAGCATTTCTTAATGAAGTAAATGCACCCAAAGGCCTGAGCAATGCACACATGGTAAATACAAATATAATTTAGTTAAACAGCAATTAACCATACTGCAGTTATCAGAAATGTCCTGTTAAACTTGAGCAGACCCATGTCTATCACACTGAATGGCAGCTATTCTTTGAATTCTTATTGCAAGAAAACGAGTTGATTTCACTCCATCAATATGATCCATGACTTTTTTGTGAGCAGCTGTCACCAACTTACTAAAACTACGAACTAGTGTGACGGGCTGTTTAAACAAAAAAAATCTTTAAAAGAAACTATATACTGCATGCGCAATATAGAGACAAAAAATCCTCAAGCCAGGCTGTAGAGGCACAGAAGAAACCAAATAAGTTCAGACTCGAAGGCTGAGTCTCAAGGTTTCTTTAAATAGCAAAAAAAAACCCACAAACAATTTTTTTTTTTTTTTTTTTCAAAAAATCGAAGATTCTTATTATGGATGTGATAGAAGAAACACAGCACTAATATTTTTGAACAGCATAACGAACCTGCATTAGTTTCTACTCCTATGCAAGTGTATTGTCTGAATGATATTTATTTTTAATATCTTTACAGGGGGTGCCGAGGGGGTTTGACGTTTGTTGAGAGACCAACCTTTGGGATGTGTCCTTTACCAAGGAAATATTGAAACAATTTGTTTGTTTCTTCTTTTCTTAAGTTAACCGCACAGGATATTATCAAAAGCTTTTTAGATTGTTTTCTGCATCAGTATGATTCGGAAATAATAAAACAATCAGTTTTACGTTCTCATAACAAGAGAGGAAGAGAGACTTCCACAGATGTCCTGGCACTAGCTGTAGACTGAGCACAGTTTTGCCTTTTGCACAACTTGCAAAGTTAAGTAATTATGCAAGGCTGATTGTCTTTAGGTGTCTCAGAGGGACATAAGAAGACATTTTAGTGCTGACCAAACAGGGTACATCACTCCTTTAGACTTTAAAGCCTGGTATATAAACACACTGATACAGTTAAAAAAACAAAGAGCGCTCACTGCAAGGATGGGCGAGAACTCTGACTTCATCCACAGCTATGTACCCTGGATGTCCTTTCAAAGAGACAGATTCAAATATCACCTGAAATACAAAAAAAAAGAAAAAGCTTTCTTAAAAAGAATAACCACACTAGTCATTTGGCCAGTCATCATATTCTGCACTTATTCCAATGTCTGAGTCATTCAAAGCATTTCATCACTAATAATGAAGGGATACCAAGGCAATCCTACTGCATACCAAAGACTGAAAACCTGTTTGATACGGAAAACCAAAATTTAAGAGCAACATTCATCAGGATTAGAGACAGCTATGTGCTTCTTTCATTTGGAAGAGCAAAAAATACTCTGTATATATACACACCTATATTCACTTTAAGCACCAGTCCAAGAACATTAAATGGATAATAATTTGATATCTCGTTCTTAGTATGCCTGGGAAAGTTGGAGAATGCTGTACATGAGGTAAAATTCTTTTATTGAATCAATAACTCTGCATGGATTCTTTGGAGAAAACCTTGATTTGGCATGCATGCCATTGCAGTATTAGAAAGCAAATAACGAACAACAGCTGACCCTGGATTCTAGTTACTGGTCTGAAATAAGATTTTCCCAGATATAACAAAGTTGTTTCTGCCTTTCCCTGGCTTGAATTAACATGGTCTGGGAATGAATATTCTTGAAAACCACATGTAGTATTTCTCGACATTAATGGTACGCTAACTAGTACTTTCTATTTTATTTATGTATCTGGATAATGAAAGTGTACCACTAATTTTGGTCTGAATAGACAGATATTCAATTACAGATGAACAAAAACTCATTCTTTCCTATGTCTTTGTGATTTTACCTAGAAAACTGCCCAAATCAGAAGTATCCTGTTAAAATATGCAAACTATCTGAAAACCAGTGGTGCAGGAAAAAAAGCCTAAAAAACTGATAAAGAGATCATTAAAACTAAGTTAACTACTGTCAAATAAGCTAACTAAAAATTCATGAGAAAATAGTACTAAGTGTGGTGCAGTTTGCTCAACAATCAAGGGACAGAAGGACACGTGTAGACTGTGACCTCATCACAGTCTACACCTTCATCCAGGTGGCAGTGGAAGGGGAGGTGCTGATCTCCTCTCTCTGGTGACCAGCGAGAGGACATGAGGAAATGGAATGAAGTTGCCTCAAGGGAAGTACATATTGGACGTTGGGAAAAGGTTCTTCACTGAGAGGGTGGTCAGACCCTGGAACAGGCTCCCCAGGGAAGTGGTCACAGCACCAAGCCTGTCAGAGTGCACGGAGCATCTGGACAAGGCTCTTAGTCACAAGGTTGAGTTTTAGGTAGTCCTGTGAGGAGCAGAGAGTTACACTTGATGATCCTTATGGGTCTCTTTGAACTTGAGATGTTCTATGATTCTATGAAGAAGAGGAAGTTTGGAAACGTTAAACTACAATAGAAAAAAGAAAAATGCAGACTGATCATTTAACACCTTGGTAATGCTAAGTCTCAAGTCAGCGAGTCTCTTCCCAAAGGAATGAAGTGCTACTCTTTACTATTTAAAAAAAATAAAATAAAAATGAACGGGTGGAGATGTAACAGATGCTGTCCTCTGCATTTGAAAGGGATGTCCTCAGTTTCATTCCCTTCTAAAGTAATGTTCACACTGTACTAAATTGCTCATTTGTGCATGTGTATGCAACAATGTTTTCAAGGACAGAGTTAATTAACACATTCAGCTGGCCCAGTTATTACTGACAGAACAGTATTCTAGCAGTTACTTGTTTCACACAAGAAAATATTTCAGTAATTCATAACCTCTAAAATTCATTACTAGAACACAAAGTTAACTACTTAAAGCCAGTTTTCAACAATTATTTTCATTCTAAATAAAAGCTGGTATTCCCAGCCTGTCACTGTTTGGCCTCTTCATCTCCTTCATCAGAAGATTTAATACAGTAAAAGATTCAAAGATTCAAATGCTAATCGCTGCATGCCCTGGCTACGAAAGTGGACCACTATGTCCTTCGTAAGTACTAAATTGCTGATAAACGTCTTGCTTTGCATTTGGGCTTCCAGAATGTAGTTTCTACTCATATTTCCATGATTTCCTAACATCAGCTCCCTCAATTCAAAACACATCCAAATGTGAGATCTTCTGAAATATGTTCATCAGGAAAAAAAAAAAAAAAAAAAGGCGATAAAACCAGGTAGAACACAAAAATTATCAGCCAACTAAGAAAAGCTCAAGTGCTAACAATATGTAGGACCAAAGTTCTACTCCAGAGGAGTGTGGACAAAAAACAGGCTGTCCAAGGAGCAATAGGAGGAAGAAAGTCTGTGGAAAATAAAATAATCCAAAAAAAATCATCAAGTGTTTTGTGTTATCAAGATTCTCAATAGGCTTTTTAGGGGCTGTATAAAATAAGACTATAGTTCAAGTCCTTAGTATGGAAACTATAATTATTTTAGAAATCAAATGTCATTCATGATAAAAAAAATGATACTTTCTGGGAAGGTCATGTAAGGAACTACTGCAACTTCCTTCAGATTTGAATTAAAATGCAACAGTACAGCTACAAAATCTTATTTCAGTTTTGCATTTGTGAGAAGCTATAAGCCACAATTAACTAATTCTCAATTTCCTGCAAGCCAAGAACTTCGAAAGAAAAGTTCTCCAAGGCATTGGCATCAGCTATTAATGTGTGGCAAAAGTAAGCACAGGTACACAGAGAGTATTGTCTTCTGTTAATTACCAACACGTACAGAGTCTTCAATACAGCACAATACAACCTTAAGCTAGTAACTCCTAAAACCCCCATGCACACCAGTGCACAATCCACTAAAAAAAGTGGAGGGATTCCTTTCAATTCACACAATACTGTTTTGACAGACTATTTTATTATCTGTTTTGCTTTACACTCAGATATTCTTCTTATTTCCCAGTTCAAACTCCCACATTGTTGTCTTTTCCTGTATTTCACAGCATCGCAGCCCTATCAAAGTGAGAAGCACAGAAGTACCCAGGTTTTCCTGAGGATGGGAAATTGAGACCCAACATGAAGAAAAGGCAGGAATAAATGCTCATGGGGCCCAGTTCTGTAAACCTCACACTGCGTCTCTCTCATGTCCTTTTAACTTCAGTTGGAAATGTAGTATAAAGGTCGAGACACAGGCATTCAACAACGCTCAACATTTAAAGAACTTCTCAGAAACTAACATAGATGAGAAAATGCAAAGCTTTATTCTTAAAAAACATTCTTAAATGCTCCTGAGAACTGCAAACACTAAGTCATTTCGTATTTCCGTACCAATAAACAATTCCACATTTCACTACTGCTATATCCCAAAAAAGTCTGTGTTACCAACGTAGCCTGGCTCATCTATTGTGGTACAACAGTTCTCTTCAGGCATGGATCGATAACGTTCCTTGCTATATATCAAAAAAACCTCTTCCTGGCAGACTCTAGTACTGCCCTTGGTGCATTCTGGGACTAAGTTCATCCTTGTGGCAAGCAGTAATTCAAGATTACATGTCTTACCTTTCTCCAAGAACTATTATGGCTTTTTCTGACTGCACTAAAAACATTTGCAGGCTGGGAATCCGAGTACAAGTAACTCCAGGGTAGACATTATAAATCTCCACCATCCCCACCTTTATATCTCAGCAGAGTGCTTTTGGATCCAGGTGACTCATAGGACCCTTGCACAGAACTGTCAGACCTAAAACACAACCTCTGGCAATTAGCTTGGTTACTAGTTTTCCACTAGTCACAGCTCCAAAGCTCAAAGTACTTGTCAAAGCCTCAGACCCAGAGTAGACAGTTTCAGATTTTTTGCCTGACTGAATTTCCGATGCACTTTGCAATTCAAGATGGTGTGGCTTCTGTGCATTAAGAGAATAATCCACATTCTGCCTGCTGCAGATTTCACTATTTAGGAAAAATGCTATTTTGTTTCCCTGTGGTACCTGGTGCTTTTGAAATACAGAACATGCTTTCAGGCCTCTTGCGTACAAAGAGTTCTTCAGGCATGTAATTTTGATTTAAAGCTAACAAATAACACTCCAATAGCACACCCTAGATTGTGAATGTGAAATGAGACACTCCCTAGGCAACAGTACACCCAAGCTTTTGTTATCCAGCCACCTCTGGACTCCTTTAGCTAGGAGCATTACTTTAGGTTGCCAAATAACAATAATTTTGACTAAGTCCTTCATTTCATCATTGTGTTTTCCTCTTCACTTTTGCAAGCTTAAAGTTTTTTTCCTTTTTTTTTTTTTTTTTTCCAATCTTTATTAAACATGGAAACTCACAGGATTGCAGGCCATTAACAGAAGATGGTTGATGAAGTCAGGGATTGATAATATATCAGTCTATTAGATCCCTCATAATAGTAGGAGAGATTTCAAATTTTAAAAGCCACACTTAAGGAGTAAGAATACAAATATAAGCAGAAGGAAACACCACCCTTGTTCATCAAAATGTAAAAAAGCAAATCCTTGGATTTTCTAGGAGGGAACTCCTAGGCAGTTACTGCAGCCTCCCAATCTCTTCATTTTTGTGCTTCAGTGAAAAATTCTTGTTTGATTTAAAGGATTTTTTGCACAGGAAAAGCAAACTTGACCTGCAAAAAGACCTGCAAAAGAAGTAAGTGTGGCTCAGGAAGCTTACTATCAGTATACCTAAGAGTAGGATCACACTGTCTTTTCCAAGTTTTTCAAGCACTGATTATCTGGGTGAAAGATCATTTCTGTTATCTCTGTGGAGCACCTACTATGAAGTAAGTTCTGGTGCATGACCAGGTTCATGTTAATATGAGTGGAGTATAGGCACTTTAATATGACTTCAGAGTAAGTGATACGTTGTGCACAGCCATTAAACACACCACTTCCCACACATTTGCATCTCTTTATCCCTTCCCCTCACTCTGCATAGGGTGCTCTATGTATTCTGATGATATCCCCAACTCTTTTTCCAGAGGCAGAACATTAAAGCACTCTGCTTCAGCTCAGATTTTATAGACCTCCTACCCACTTATTAGAAGGAAAATAAAAAAAAAGTAAAAAAAAAAAAAGGTAAGCTTTTCTACCTGCTGTCTTCTATCCACAGACTATATGCTGCCTTTTTGTAGTTTATTCTATCGTAATTCCTATCTCACTCATGCCTTTTACTAGTGTCACATGTACATCTATTTTCCCGCAAGGTTTAGGGTGCAATTACTTCCCAGGATTTTCTTTTTTTTTTTGTCTGTTGAGAGACAAAAGCACTCCTTCGACACCTAACAAGAACTACACAAGTCCATTGTGTGCAATCTTATCTAATTAAAACTAAAAAAAAAATGCCTGCAAAGTTGCCACATGTAGTTTGAAACTGTAAAATTAATATACCAAACAACGTACCCATGACATTCTTCAACCTTGTGCTTGTTTAAAAAACAATGATAATCTCCTAACAGAACAAGTAAAACTATGTTACAAGCAGTGCTAAAAAGAAGAGGAATGAAGGATCTGGTGAAGAGTATACTCATGTTGATAACACGGTGCAAGATTTTATGAGTAGCTTATGTACTTAAACCCCTCATATGGGCACAGGAAAAGTCCAGACGCAAAGCTGAGTGAACCAATGTTCCTTCTTATGGATCCAACCAAGGGCCAAAAACAGTTCAGCAAATTTATGCAGAGATACAGTTACACATCTAGATGCTCGGTTGTATTTACATTTACATAGTGTCACGGAAAGCGCCAATACAAGTCTGTTTATGTGCCAACTGCACAATAAACAAACGGGTCTTAACTTGGCAATAATTTGACTCCCAGCAGTCTATCCAACACTCTGTGACCTTGTAAGAAGTGAAGAAAAAAGATGAAGCAGGAAGAAGTATGACCAGCTGTCTACATAACCCTTCTGCTATAAAACCGCTGTATGTAAACTCATTCTGACAGGGAAAAGTCGAGAGGGTTCTGACTTTCAGAATACCTATTGCTAACAGCACCTTAGCTCAGACTAGCCAAATGTTAAAAGGAAAAACAGTGAAAAATATTACAAACTCGTACCTGATAAAAATGTGGCCAGAACGTACTGATGGCAAGTTCTGCTTTCACCCATCCTTCTGTAACAACACCCGAGACGTTCCATATGGGATTGCCCTGTGGTCCTCCGTTCACCTTCACGTAGACATTCAGAGAGCCAGGACTGGAACGGTCTCTGCTGGATAAGTAATAGTGGAAGTCGATGCAGTGCGTGTCGTTTTCCTTCAGCGTAGGCAAGAGCAGGTGAGCCTTCTGCCCTGATGCCCGCCCAGAGCTGTTCACCATCATGAAGGAGCCTATAAAGGAAAGCAAAAAGAGAAGAACGAGTGGTTTTGCTCGGCTTTTTCAGTAAATACAGTTCCATTAGAAAAGTCAGTGACTCTCTTAGATGCCAGAAAACAAAGCATTCATCTGAAGAACTCAAACTAGCTATTTTATGCTAGTTGTTAGATAACAGAAAGAAAGGGTATTAAAATTGCAGGGTATATACACAAATAGACTTAGGGCCAACTAGAACTACTTTAATTAGATCACTGAAAAATCAAAATAAAAATACTATTTTGCTTTTATTAATTTATAACCTCGTGATAAAACAGTCACTCTAAACAAAATCATATTAATCACACTTCAAGCAGCAACGAGGCTCTCCTATCGCATACAGTCCCCTAAAGGAACATTCCATATAAAAAATACAACAATGGACCAAATTCTCAACTGATGTTTGCCTACAGGGCCCCCACCCACTTCGTGCCAATCTATACTTGTGAATCCTGTACCTTGGCACTACAAACTTTTGAAGGTTATAATGTGCTAAGAAAAATTCAATTTTCAGAACCCAAATGAACTAGGCTTATTAGCATAACAGCAACATCTCAACTAGAAATAATGCAATAAGGACAATTATTCTTCTAGGAGGGAAGGACAAGCTGAATCTAGGAAGGGAAATATATACTAAGGCAATTTATGAGTTTGTTAACCTGTAAGTTTGCATCATATTAACCATGGCTCTTCATGTTGAACTCACATTTTGATTCATCAAGCAGTTATTTTACAGCATATTGTGTCTCCACTCATCTCTTCACAGATGCATCAAGGTGACAAATGTTAGCAATAACGAAAAACATTATGAGAGTTATTTGTTTCAATTCTGTTTAAAGGATGTCCTTTACATGTGTACAAACAGTCACACTCAGAAAAAGCTGGAGAAAATACCAAGATGGGGCAGGGGGAAATCTGTGTGTCAGCAGCTAGGCATGATAATTTTTAATCAAATGCAGCCCTCTTGACACTCTCAGTTGCGATGCTGCTGCCAAGGCATGCTACAAATGTATTTCTCTGCTGGGCTCTTGCAGTTCACAGAAGATTGAGTCTGAAAAGCCCTGCCTCACTTCTAACCTATTGACTTTCTCTATTCCATGCCATAGCAGTACGACACTCAGATGAGCCAGATAAACATTTTGATCAATTCTGTGCAGGGAACAGCCATATATTCTAAACTTCTATCAACAGACACCAGCAACTTCCTCCCACAAAAATGTTTTCCCCCCTTGTGTTTATATGATATATATGCATTTTGTAAAGGATTGAAAAGCACAGATGCAGAGGGAAGTCAATCTTTCAAAAAATATCACACACTCTAGAGACCTTGGAAAATGCAAGCACAATGCAAGCACAGCTGGGGAAGAGGCTGTACTAAGAAATATGAAAATTTATAAGCAAGATGCTCTCTGGCAATGCTATCTTTCATTTTGATATGCTGAAAATCAAAATGGCATCAAATCAAGAAATTCCAGATTCACAGCAAGGACTTTGAGAAAAGTCAGTGCTGCATCCAAACTTTTCGATTTCCCCCTAATAATCAAAGTCTGTAAGATGGGATCCTGAGAAATGTTCACTGCTGATCTACTTCTGCTCCCAGCCAATCCCTTCTTTCCTGAGTACCACTACTCTTAAATATCCACCCAAATAAACTGAAGTTTTGAGAAATTGAGATTTGGATTCTGTTTCTATGACCCAAGATAATTTATCATCAGAGAGCACTATTGCCAACTGGCCTGAAGAGGCAGCACAGCCTAACAGCTAAGGCAGCAGGCTGGAAACTTGACAGTCATGTTTCTAAGACTGATTATGGCACCCACTTCCACGATCTCTGTCAGTACACATAGCCTGCCTTAACTTCCCTTACAAATAAAGCAAGAATAGTTGTAAGAACCACTCTTCTACTGAGAATCTGAGACGAAAGCCCCTGTGAAACTGCTGAGTAACAGTAGTCTAGTACAGAGGAGCACAGCAGCCTGCAGCACCTCAATGCCATTTTGAGAAACGGTACAAGGTACAATGAAGGCAAGTTCTGCATTTGCCAGATCTCATACTTGAGGATGACAGCACAGTCAATTACAACAGGTAGTAAAGAAAAGCAGAGCTCCGGTACATCCACAAGCTTTTTGACCAAGTGCCTGCTACACTGGGTAGGAACCCAGGCAAACTGGTTTTTGCACCTCACTGAGTGGATCACAGGGCACATCACTTCTGGGCATCTTCCTCAACTTTTTTTTTTTTTAATTTGGGTAATACATGGATGCCTACCCTAAAGAATCCTCTGAAGCTGTACTGTGTTGAACTACCCTGGAGCAGGTAAGTGTTTGAATGACAGAAAAAGTTAGGGAGTATTTCACTTTTACAGGTTCATATATAAAAATAACGAGCTTTCCTCTAGGAGAAAAAAACATTAGCTTTTATAAAAAGTTCAAAGCAATAATTACAATTTTATTTTTTGCCACCCACAAAAAAATGAATCACAAGCTATTCGTGGTATGACAATGGCCTTTTGTGCAACTGCTGACAATTCTAGAGAGAGTATGGAGCCTGAATCTAGCTACTGACAACTGGATCGAGTAAAGTATCTGTCCACCAAAAAGCACTTAGCAAAATAATTAGCCTTACAAGCAACTGTCATATGTAAATTATTCATAGCTTATTTATAGCTTACAATTTTCATAGAAAAATTCTATGGGTTTTTTTAATACAGTATGCCTAGAGATACAGGAGAAAATACTATAAAAACTTTACTGTCTCCAGTAAAGTCCTGATAAGAGGTATTATTTTATATGTCAGCGGAAAAGATGAAAAATTTCCACTTAGAGTGCCATCTCTGTCAGAGAAAAGTACTCGCACCTTTTTAAAATCAGTTTCTCACCTACTAACTAAACCACGTGCCTTGTTTCTGCAGAGACTCGGTGCGACAGCTCCTGCAACAAACCCTTCCCCCGGCTAGTCAAGGCACGGTGCACAACACCTCATGCCTGGCCACGTAGGGGGTGTAAACTTAAGAGTTTCATCAAGACTATAACTGACATTGGATACAAGAATATGCCAATCTACAAAATTCAGTTCTGAATAAATTATATCCTGTATTCTATATACTGGCCTCCAAATATACCCATCCGTACCCTTTTTCATTTCTCTTTTCACAGTGTGAACTTGAATGGGTCTCCTGTCCCCTGTCCTCTAGGACCTTCAATAAGTTGCTCTGCATGCTCCAAGATCAACAGCTGAGATCCACTGTCCTACTATAAATGTCCATGGCCAGTGAAGCTTGTCTGGGCAGGATATATCACTTAGACATAGGCGAGAGATCACAAAAATTGCTCCCACCAGGGAAAGAAAAAAAAATTCAAAACAGTCTTTTAAGGACAAGTGTGGTTTTCCTTATTATCCTTAATAAAAATTGACATCTTGTGATTCAGAGTCTGACAACCTGCTTTAGACTGAACAGAGAATTGAAGCTGATGGGACTTATTCTCAATTTATAGGCCTATATGTGCAAATAAAAGAGATACAATCTGGTCTGTCACCAACGAACCACTTGTCACATTTTCCACTCTTATAAAGAGCTAGGGAATGAATTAACATGTCACAAATGGAAATTATTGATCAATGGATGACTGAAAGCCACTTAAATGTCTCCAGGCAAGAATCTGAATAAAACAAAAGGTATCTTGGAGAAACTCTTATTTAGACCATTGCATATCGAGCTTTGAAAAAGAATAACAGAAGAACAAAAAAAAATTATTTAGCCTCCTTCTTCTGTTTACCTCCACTCAGAAAGTGCAAATGTCATAAAGCCAACACTGAACTGAAAAAAATGAGTTTTGGGGGAAAATTACCTATGCTTTGTAAAAGTTCTTTTTTATATTTATTGCACACAGAAGTACATGCTCATTAAAGCAGATTGAATATGAGCTCAATTAAATTTAGTGTTCTTGGATCAACAGGTTAGATTAATTAATATCTTGCTGGTTTTGTCCTGAATAGCCAAAAACGAACATGTTGTGTTTAGATCAGTCAGAAGAAAGGAGGATGGGAAGACGGTAAATAAATTCATTTTTAAAAATCCGTTCAAATGACAGGAACATAAAACGGCACTCTCTCATAGTTATTAAACATACCACTGAAAACTGGGGAATTAAACCATGAAGTGCTCTCTAGCTGGCCATAAATTTCAATTTTTTCCCTGCTTGGTGCATAATGATGCCTTGATAAGCGTCCTATTATTGATGCATCTGCAACATATATCCTCTTTTTGGAGCTGAAATGCTACTCCGTAGCAGATGGTGGCTATTGTGTTTACACATCAGCACTTTATGATTGCATTTTCTCACGTCTGCAGTAAAAAGAAAGCCATAATTGAGTTTTTAATGGCTTTGCACATTGTTCATTAAGATTACATGAGTGTGTTCTGACAAATGACAGCTGAAGAAATGAGCCACTGAGAACCCCTCGTGATCACCAGACAGACCTCAGTTGATGCTGTTTCACTCTTGGCTTTGAAGAACCGTGCTGTTTAAAAGTGAAATTATAGCAACCATTAAATACTGAATGTAAACTTGAAAAGAAAGCTGTCAAAATGCTCAACTGTAAAACAAGACTTCTAAAACCTGGAAAACCAGAATCAGGTACAGAAGGTTCTTTTAAATAGCAAACTCCTTCCCAAAAATAAAGGAATAGGTTTTCTAGGAGGTCCATCAGGTGTACGAGCATATTTCAGGCACAGTTTTGCTTATTTCCAAAGAACAACTCTATCTCCAAGAAAGTAAGTCTGACATCTGTCCTTGTTAAGGTAGAACAAAGCAACACGGATCAATCTGGGTTGGAAGAGGCCTCAGGCCAAGCCCCTGCTCAAAGCAAGGTTAGCTATAAGACCAGATCAGGTTTCTCAGAGTTTTTACCTACTGAGTCTTACAAATCTCGCAGAGCACTGCCCTCAATTTCTCTCTGGGAAACCTGCTCCATTGCT